CCCCAAGCTGGTTGGCGATCTGAATTCCTTGTACTGCAGCAAGGATTTCTGCCCTTGTGGAATCCCCCACTCCCACCGGTCCTGAGAATAGGGTCTAACTATGAGGTATTTTCCTGTATGCATTTTGTTTGAGCTGGAAAAAAGGAACTTGTAAGACATGAGAAGACTCCTAAAATAAATTCTTATTGAGCCAGATGACTATTTGAGTAAAATGTAAATGAGTAGTGAATCATTGAATGGACTGTTGAAGGTAGTCAACTGGATCGGTTGGTACATCTCTGGCTGGTTATAGCTGAGACTTGGGATTGATTCCCATCTTCACCAGGATTGGGGGGTCTTGGGGTTTGGCTGAGGGGTTACCCCCTGCTATGTTGTCCTATATATTAAAAAAAAACAGAACGATTGGGCTGTTCTTAGTTGAAATGAGTATTTCTAAACAACAGTATTGATGTGTATTCAGGAAGAACCCGTTGATCGGACCAAGCACTGGGGAGACTTGGAGGAAGAAGAGGAAGAAGAAGAAGAAGAAGAGGAAGAAGAAATAGAGGAAGATGAATTGGAGGCTGGCATCCAATCTGTAGATAGTCTCTCAAGGTACTATGTTTCTTATCTCTGGGCATTGTCATAACAATTACTAGTAATTGAATTATCACCATTTCTTCTAATCATAAAATATCATCATTTCTTTTTTGTCCAGCACTCCCACTGGGGTGGAGACACCTGATGTCATTGACCTACGAAAGCAACAGAGAAAAGAGCCTGAGAAGCCTCTATACCAGGTGAGTACATCTGCAGCTGAAGTTATCTTCATAAGGGATGCAACTTGGTTGTAAGTTGGGACCAATCTGAATTGAGCTCTGACCTATAACCCAGCTTGGATGCCTGAGGCCAACTGTAAAGTCTATCATGATTTATATTTGCATATTCAAATGTTGGAATAGGTTCTTTTGTTATAAGATAAAAAAGGAGGTTGCTTACCTGATCAAATTGGACTAAGGTTTAACCTAACCTTGTTTTTAACTGGGATCTAGTTAGAGTTCAGTTGGTTTCTTCTTTAGTTTTGTTTGTATTAGCATCCAAACTGATAGAAGCTGTCTGACTTGCATCCCTTTTATATGCGGTTTTCTTGATTTTGTGTTCTTTAAACATTATGCATCTTCTTATTGGTCAAGTTTCCTTTTTCAAGGTACTTGAAGAAAAAGAAGAAAGGATTGCTGCAGGGACCTTGCTTGGAACGACACACACGTATGTATTTTGGAATGGAGCCACACTCTTCATTATCTCAGATTTAAGTGTTTGTGTTGGTATTTTAATGCTTGTAGATTCTGACAATCTTAGGATTTTCCTGGATGCAGGTATGTTATTGGCACTGGAACCCAGGACAAAACAACTGCAAAGAGGGTAAGCATGTTTGGTGGTTCTTAGACAAAATTGATTTTCTTGGTAACTACTATGTTTATACTGATAAACCTAGAAGCATCTTGGGGACCTATTATGCACAACAAAATTTAGTATTTTAAACCTGTGAGGGGTAGTGCCATGGATCTTGTTATTGATTATATTGAATTTTTTTTATCAATAATTGCTTATATTGAATTTCACAACTGCAGAAAGGTATAATCTTCTATTCTCAGTAAAGTCAGTCCCTAGGTATCTAGGGCCATTATGAATTCTGGTTTCTCCCCATGTGATCTGGATTGTGGAAGGGATGTGTCTATAGAGAAATCTGGATTTCATAGTGATGGATATGGGGTTTATCAATCTTATGGAGCATCTTGTCATTGCCTTCAAGGTTCAAAATATTGATACACCCGATACGCTGGTAGGGTCGTATCGGGCGAATCGATAACTTTTTTCTTACTTTTTTTTTTATTTTTTTTTTCAAAACCAGTTCAGGGGGGCCGGTTAAGAGCTCCTCCACCCCCTGAACCGGTCAGACCCCCGATACACCCACTGTAGAGGCGAATCAGAGGGGGCCTGGAACGATATGTATCGGCCGATACAGGCCGCTACTGTGAACCTTGATTGCCTTTTCTTTTTGGATACTGTTTTTTTAATGTACCTTATCTGATCAATTGTCTGACATGTTTGACCTGATTGTGTTTTGTATAAATATCTTTCCATACCAATGTTTTGTATGCTATTATACCGTTTTGCTTAGCCTAGGATGGACCTGATAGAACCAACCTGATTCGACCCTATTATGCAGGTCTGGGTCTTATATCCTGATTATAATTGGGTTGGCATTGGTTTTGGTTGTTCTGAGCTATTTAAGACCTGGACTGACTATATGTCACCGCATTGCAAAGATATGCCTCCAGTCTAATGCCTGTCTTTCTCATGGTATACTTGATCAGTTCCTGAATGTCAGAATGTGTTATTAGAAACCTTTCCAGGGTCTGGTTCAGGACTGGTTCTGCATGTTTATTTATTGGTGGCAGACAGGTCTACCCTGACTAGACCAGATAGGACCTATTGCATGTTTATTTAATTGTCTTCTTATTGTTGTGTCTGCTTTGCATTGATGCATTGTTTACTGTGTTTCATTAAACTGCTTCTACAGGTTGATCTGCTACGGGGTCAAAAATCAGATAAAGTGGATGTCACTCTACAACCAGAAGAGTTGGAAGTTATGGACAACGTCCTGGCTGCAAAGTAAGAGTCCCGGCTGGCAATTATTCTTCTAATACTGATTTTCTACATTAGGTATGATTGTTGACATGCAAACCCGTTTGCAGGTATGAAGAAGCACGGGAGGAGGAGAAGTTACGTAGCCAGCGGGAGGATTTCAGCGACATGGTTGCAGAGGTCTTGCACTTAAAACTTTTGCTTTCTTTTTGTTTGTTGGTTAATTTAATGAAACCAATTACAACAAAGAAGAAATTTGTGCAGAATGAGAAGAAGAGGAAGCGGAAGATGCAGGAAAAGGAAGGAAAGTCAAAGAAGAAGGATTTCAAGTTTTAGTGCGTCTGAAATTTATTCATATTATCAGGTTCAGCTATCCCTACTCTTCATTGTTGGGGAGTGCATCTAATCAGTGACTTAATTCAAACTAACCTCATGTACTCTCCTATGAGTTAAAGGAGTTATTGAAGTGGTGGTCTTTTTACTGTTTCCTTGTAATTTGTCTTCGTTTTCTACAATATTTGTAATGCCTTGAATATTTGAAGTTTAATGCAAAGGAAGCATCTAAGATCTAGCAATTATTAACAGACCCTGAGTTTTAGACTTGAATATACCTTTTAGGCATACCTATTTTTAGACTTGAAAAAATAGGAAAAAAGGAAAAGCATGTATCCTAGGTTTGCTCCCTAAGGCTATGTTTGGTTTGAAGGAGAAAGGAAGTGAAACCTTTACAAATCTTGTATTCCCTGCATTTCCTTTTTTCCTATTTTTTCTTTCAAACCAAACATAGCCTAAGTTCCATAATCATATTTTCTTAATAACTATCCATAATTTTCATAAGAAAAGTGTACTAGAGTATAGAAAATCAACATACTTATGAGAAGAAAAGGAAGAAAAGAAAATTAAAAAATATAGGGGAACCCTTATTTTTGTTATAGGAATAGAAGAAGAATGTGTTGATTGGACAAAATTTAAAGTTATTCCTTACTGGTTCAGGTTTTGAAATCTTTGAGGGTTTAATATAACATTAAGCAATGTTTGTGTTGATTAAATTTTAACAAATAAAAAAATAATAAAAAGAATATATAAATACAATGAATATTTTAGTTTAATAATGTCTATTTTATAATTATAATCCTAAAAAATTATGAATATAAAAATATTTTATAATAGTATAAAAAACTGTGCGTGAGGTGACCCTCCAAGGGTGCCTTGTTGCCTGCGTTGCCTAATTTCGGGCTTAAACATACCCAATTTTATATGACAACAAAGATGGAGCTACTCAAAAACAGCGAGATGACGAGGATTAATATCTTTTTCTTTTGCTTTCTTTACATGGTGGTTGCCTAATCTTTCAAGGGAACCTTTCTGCTAATATATATATATATATATATATTTGTTTATCTTTCCGTCTGAATGTGGTAGCCCCTTCCAGTAGGTTGAGCTAATAGATGTTCTTCCAAGAATTTCGGCATTATTCAGTAAAATGTTCAAAAACTCTCATACCTCTCGAGTCTCGAGGCCAATAAGAGCTTCTAGGTTCTCCAATCCGTCTCTGTTGTACCATTGTTTAAAATATGGAATTTAACCGTTGAATCTATTATCTAGAACCCTCACCTAATAGTGGGGTGGACATTCAAGATAAGGTCAGTTTTCAACGTTAGTGCTGCAAATGCTATTAAAACTCACAAATGCCGCTGCCCAAGGCACTATTCTGCCCACGCAAATATCAATAGGGATTTAATGGACTACTCAACGGTTTTGACTGCTTGGAATTCTTTCAGTGATTATATTTCTTGAAAAATCCATAAAAATCGAGTTATTGAAGCTCCATGGAGAAAACGTATTGAGTGGTAGAAACTTTACAAAGTAGATAACACCTGACCTAGGTTAGCGTGCAGAAAAGCAGGGTCTTCAAGAATTAGAAGACAAAGAAACAGACTTGTGCTTTTTGTTTTTTGGGCAAAGGCAGATGGTCGTATGGTGGAAATTCCTTCCTGAAAAAGACGAAAATAGGTTTCGTGCTTTTTCCCCCCCAACTTTGTTCTTTTGTTTTAAACTTTAAAGTATTTAAATTTCTAAATGGGAGAACCATTTAATGGAGGATTAGGTAGTGTTTGGAACCAATGTTGTTTCTTTAGTGATATTTTCTCGGAAAACGCTTTCTCAGTTTTCTATTTAGTACCATTGCTGTTGCTACCACATAGACATTTTTCAATGCCATGTCAACACAATAGTAGAAAAAATGGGAAAACACCAAAATGGGTGTATTTTTAAACCACACCTTTCCTGATTTTCAAGGTGTGATTTGAGAAAATATTTTTTGGAAAAACAATTAACCAAACAACAAACGTTTTCTCAAAATACGGATTTCTGATGTGGCACTGATGTGATGCCGTTTTTGGAGAAAACTACATTGATGCCAAACGCCTACTAAGCTTGTTTATTTGTTTGGGCAAGTCACTTGTTCAACTCATGTGCTGCTGATGTGTCAGATTATGAGCGGAAGTACAGTATCCAGAGTGCAGGAGATCAGGACTCGATACAAATTTTGTAATTCATATCTTGTTCAACTCATGGGTATTTGACATTGATGGTGATGTTTTACTATATTTTCATATCTTGGCACAGACGAAAGTTCCAAATCTTATAAAACAATTATATATTAAATAATACAAAAAAATTGTTTCTACGAAATGTTGAGGTATGAAATATCATCACAAATTCAAAGAGAAAATTAAATATTACCCTGTTTAAAATGAAAAGTACTATCGTCAAGATAGACATTTAAGGCTTATCTTTTAAGAATTGAATGTTAGTACAAATGTAAACAACTCAATAGGGTTTCTGATCATCATTTAAAGTCTTATGCCCAGTTTCATGATTATGAGTACCTATTAGGTTTCTCCTAATACTAAAAGAGATGGGTTAAAATCTTACAGTGAAATCCACGTGGAAGGGTTAATTAAGGTTTTTGGTATGTTTATTGCTGAAAATACTAATTTAGAGAGAGAAGAAACTACAGGTTCTATATTTTTCAAGAGAACTAGAATAACCTTTTATTGCTTGCAATGAGAAATCATTCCCTTTGCTTGGATTAATAGCATTTCCATCTTTAAATCGTACCAATCAAAACAAACTTCAAGAGATGGATAATTAAAAAGAATAATTCATAAAAATAGGAATAATAAACAAAAAGAATCCATAAAAGAATGAATAATAATAAGAGACATGAGCCTAGAATCATACTTGGGCTTCTGCAAATCACTCCTAGATGTAGTTCAAGCAAAACAAATCCTGGTCAGCTGGTCTTATTATCATAGCAAAAAAAAAAAAGGAAGTAATAAGAATGCAAATACAATTCCTAACTAATAAGAAAACGCACTGCCCTTATTAGAAGTGTTCGAAATAGAAAGCAAAATTCTGATCTTGTTAAGTTGATAACCATCAAGAAATTCTTACCAAGATACCTTGATAAACATCAGGACATTCTTATATGAAGCCTATGGAATTCAACTTTCAAACCATAAGCAATGCACAAAATAAGCGAAACAACCAATAAATAAACTACTGACAAGGTGGATTAAATATGAGCAATTACTAAAAGTGGAAAAAGATGTGAAAAGTTGGAAATTTAAAAGTATAAGGGAGCTCAAGTATGGAAGTTAAACAAAATAGCCACCAAACCATTAGTCAATTTTGTAGAATATTTCAGGTCTAATAGGATCAAAAGTTGGAAATTAATGTTCTATATATACCAAACACTATAAAGGTCAAGGCCTCCAAAGGCTATGAGAATTGTCTTTATCGTTCAATTTAATTATGATCGGATGGAGTGTTTTGAGATCTGGACGGTGGAGGTTTGGGAGAGGAGGACAATGACCCAAAACATCGTATGCACATGGTAAATGAGATTTGAATATTTCCACCAAGTCCATAACCCAAATTTTCTACATGTCAAGAATTGAGATATTCTTTAGTTTGTCCATGGCGTTCAGATTTTGGTTATCAAAGATTAGTATTCCCCTAATCCTTGGAAAAATGCAATTTACACAAAGAGAGGTGGAAGAAAGCTCTAGTCCTAGGTGAAGAAAGCTTTTCTTCATTCTCTTTACATGTTTTAGTCCTATGAGTGTTTTAAGTCAATATATACCTTCAAATATCAAAGTGTAGGTTTATCAAGAGAGCTTTTTGTTTGTTGAATCCTAGAGTAGATACACCAAAAACTTTTGCATTAACCAACTACCAAAAGGGAGATTTTTTATTTAAGGACAATGCAATTGAACGTGCCCCAGCTGGTTTGATGTGCTTGGATTTTTATTGTTCATTTGTCTTCCCATAGAAGTTTGAAATCCATTACTTCATTAGAGACTTGTGGTGCAAAGTGAATCAATGGGATTGAATTGCATGGTTTCATTATATTTGTTATTTCTTAGATCATTCTTTCCATTGTACTATACTCTATTTCTGTAGTGAAACAACCTCTATTGACCTTTTATAACCAAAACCCAAAGAGCCCCTACCTAGTGCTATATCGGTTTTTTTTATATCTGTCCCTCAAATCCACATTGTTCTCACTTGTTCTACATATACTATTTCAATTTTTTTTGGCATTGAACAATGAGTGACAAAATTTTCAAATACAATGAGCCATCAATTGTCTGAACTACTACCACCAAAAGTACCAATAGAAGCACAAAGAAGCTTACAAAAAACAAAAAAAAATGCACACAGAAAGTTTTCATTGATGGAGTTGAAGGCTATGTTTGGTGATTAAGTACTTATTTGAACAAGTACTTAATGCTGTTTGGCGACCCCAAAACTAAAGCACTTATACTTATTTTAAGTACCTATTGAGGTGAGGATGTTTGGSGAGCCACTTCTTCAATAAATACTTATTTTTGCAGAAATGACATTTTTAGCCCTTATTTCGCACATTCATATAAATATTGAATTACTCATATTATATTGTATATTTTAAAGGAACTTGCCACATCACTACGTCAAGACACATGAGGATCCACATGTAACGCATGTGGAGTGTCACATGGGCCCACATGTGGCATTAACACATAATAATAATAATGGTTATAATAATAACAATAATTACAACAACAATATACCAAATATAATGAATAATAACATAAATAAATAGTAAATATTGTTAGGGAAATGAAATAAAATGTGTCAAAGAACTTTTGAAAGACACTTATTGAAAAGTATTTTCTAAGAGCAATTTTCCATAAAATACTTTCAGAAAGTACTTTTAACAAATAATTTTTATAAAAAAGTACTTTCAAAATACTTTTATATCATAAGAACTGATGTAACCGTTTTTGGTCACGTACCATTTTTTGTGATGTATAAATTTTTT